TCCCCTCCACTAGCTGACATGATTTTTTTTTTTTTTTATACATTTGAGCTCTTAAGATCTGCACAATAGCTTAACACAATAAGTGTTTAGCCTCTGGTTCCAACTGTAATTGATAGAGTACAGTTCCATTCCCTCTGCTGCTGCTAAGTTGGGAATTGCAGCCACAGCAACTGACAGCTTTTTTTTTTTTTTTCTTTTTCCATGAGTCTGGAGTTACTCTCTGGGAGTGATGTCCTCATTGGGATGTGAAGTAAAATGACGAGAGAAAGGCTCACCGTAGCCCTGTGCGACAGAGGAACTCCAGGGACCTCATCTAGGGGAAACAGTGACTCGAGGTGGGTGCTGCTAATGAGAGCAAAAAATCAGGAGAAAGCTCCGGGAGGATATACCCAAACCCTGCAGTTTTGAAGAAAACGGGCTTTTCAATTAGCGAGCACAGAGGAGGGAGATCATTTACACAAAAGAATTTCTGACAATGAGCATGTTTTTAACTGTACTATAAAATGATGTCATTTACTGACAGAAATGTCTTTTATATTACAGTCACAGTGTCTGAACTCTTGGAGAGTCCCAGTCTTTATGCGGTGGTAATATACGGTGCTCTGATACGTGAGATTAACATTGAAATAAGCAAACAACTGCAACGAATGTGATTTCAGACTGTCCCATTCAGGCCTGAGTTCTGTCTTGGGGACGAATACTCAGCAGCTTCGGACGTAGTAGCCCGATACCAGAATTTAATGCAGATGGCAACTAGTTCGGTAGATCTTTAGTTGGAAAAGTAACCTATTTTTGGAATCTATTTAATTAAGCGGTAGGTAAAGCCTCCTCTTGTTTGTGCGCACCTTGGCTTTTTTGTCATCTGTCAGTGTCGTGATGTGCATGGTAACGGAAAGGTTCTCAGGCAGGAGCTATTTAGGTGGTTTTGATGTGCGCTTGCTTTTCTGGAGGATGTTTAAACAAAGCAGTGCTGCCATTTCTACAGTTTTGTTCAGTACTGCTCGCTTGGAACCTGTTTCTATTGCCCGCGTAATAAAGGATACCAATAATATTTAAAAAGCCACAACCCTCTTGGTTATTAATACATATATATACTGCCTCCTTTAAACACAGGAATACACATATCAGACCTAGCTGGTAGTCTGCTCTGCTCTCTGAAGGAAGCAGAATTTCACTTTCTAAAAATGTTTCTGTTTTAAACAACCTTTACCATTAAGGGGCAAATTGCAGCTCTAAAGTAATGACTGTGAGCTGTCTTCTGTTTGCTGCTGTATGAGGACTTTTTCAAAAATAAAACTGCATTATTCATCTACAGCGCCAATAAACAAAATAAATGTGACTGAGATCAGTTTCTGCTGTACTTTTCAACAGCTTTGGTTCTGAGATAGCCTACTGGAGCTAGGAGAGAAAGAAAGGAAGAAATATAAAATTGCAGCCGGAAAAGGCGTTAAGTCCAGATTCTTCTTCTTCGCAGGCTTTAAAAAGCAAACTAGCAATTCATGATCACATAATAAAATATGCACATTTAAACAAGCTGCAGGGGGAAAGGAGAGTTTAATCCAGTGAAATTGTGTTTGAAAGCTATTTCATACCCCTAGGAATAAAATCTGAATAGCAATTCTGCTTTGCTCCCACCCTTTTTCCACCCTTCCGTTAATATATTACCATTTGTTATGGAATTGTTACAAGAGTTCTACCCCAGAGGTAGCTGCATTTCGTGGAACGATGAAGTACTTTCTGGGCCTGATTCCCTTCTTACTCATTGGAATAGACAGATAGCATTCACTGCAACTGCACCGATGTCAGTGCAGCTATTTTTGATTTGCACCCAAGTAAGAGAAAAATTAGGCCCACAGCTGGTAAAGCCCTTTGTGATTCATTTGGCTGAAAGCTCACAACACAAATGGGTTGTTTATTGTAAACAGAAGTATGTTATTAAAGCAGGTGCTGAGAGCGAGAGATCTCAGTACCTGCTTTAAGAATTATCGGAATGGAAACGATGGTCTTAAAAGAATGATGATTCAAAAAAGATTCAGCCTTGCGAAGATCAAAATGCATTTGATACAGTTTCTGGGTTGATGTGAAATAAAGTAGCTTTAAAAGTATAATTCGAGATTTAAAATCCCCATCATCAAACATAAATAGTGTCCCATTTATCCAATTACACTACCTTGTTTCGTTACAGTGGTCTGTAATATATTTCTTAGGAATACAAGGCTTAAAATTAATAATAGAAAAGGACAAAATTGCCACGTATATTTCTCTAGATAGGTTTTCATCTAGCAGCAGGACTTCACTTCTGATTCACTTGCTGGTTCTCTCTAACCTTTACATTATTCATTAATCAAACTCGAAACCTGCTTTCAAAGTCAGTGCATGGGAGTAATTATTTACAGTTGTGCATAGTATTTAATTTTAAGCAATGACAAAAGCATGCATGTCCAGAATCATAAGGCTTATCATTTCTCTTCTGTTGGAGGTGAACTACCTAAAGAAGCTAAAAGTTGCAAACTTCTCTTCAATATCTCTGCTGCCATCAAGACAAAACGCAGTGCAACTGATACCTTTGAACTTGTGCAAGTAAAAATAAATAAAAGTGAAAATTAAGTAATATATAATGTATTAACTCCTTTAAATAAAAGGAATAAGAAGCTTTGCTATCAGCCTTGATGAGCGATTCATTTCTTATTGCACAGTCTGTCTACTGTCACTTTGAGGTATTTTTCACTAAATAAAACAAAACCTCAGTACTATCCCTGAAAATGAAAGTCAGTTTTAAGAACTATATACAACAGGCACGTCTGCTTTTTGAAACCCCCCCCCCGACCCCCTACAAACCCACACATACAACTTCAAAGCAGAAGAACTACTGCAAATGTATAAACCTACTTCAAATCGGTTATGCTGGCTGAAATCGGGCTGCATTTGCAGTATTTTGCTCACCTGAAACAACATTGATCTGAGGACAAATATAATCAAAGAAATGCACCACTGAAGACCAATGCACATTTTATAATGAGAACAGGAAAGGAGAGACGTTACTGTGGTCATTCAAATCTCTATCTCATTACTAAGACTCCCAAAAATACTGTAACGTTCTGGATAAAAAAACATATCTTACTGTATTCTTAGCCGGGAAATCCTGGGAAACAACAATATGGGCTTTGCTTGCAAGAATTTACTTACTCTATAGCCTGTGTTCCTAAAAAAGGACAGAGTGCCCCTTCTACAAAAAGATACTACGTACATTCCAAGTGAAAATCCTACTTTGAAAAGAAAATAAAAAGATGCCTTATACTGACAGAAAGAAAAAAGGAGCAATTCTAGCACTGTCACTGAGATGATCAGCATCCATGAAAAAATAGCTATTTATCCTGTAAGTTGAAAATGTTAATGCCTTATTCAGAGATAACCTCTTTGTGAATAAAACAATAATAGCAACTCATCAGAGAGTACTTCCAAATACCTATATATGTATGCATTTCCATCTTTGCTATTATTTATAGTTAAAGCAGATCTTTGTTTGCCAGGAAACATGCTAGCAACCTGCATAGGCACATTGGTTATGTCCCAAAAGTCTCTGCCTGCACACCTATATGAATACGGCAAAATGCGTATAAGTTTACAAAAGTTATGCATGCTCAGTCTCTCAAAAATAACATTTACCTTTGAATGAATCCCAAGCACTACTTTTCAAAGTTTATTCCACTGTGTCACTAAACTTGCCCATACATTTTGTCCCATATGTAATATGCTAAAGTGAGAAAATACTCAGATGGGGGAGGAAAAATTAGCAGACAATTTTTTAAACTGAGGACATAAAAAAAGAGTTTTCTTTAGAAATAGAACTAATCTGAGGAAGGATACCAGGAAAAAAAGAAGGGAAAAAACCCGCCTACATTAAAAGCCAAACAAGATAATAATTGTGCATGTCTGGCTAAGAGAATCTAGAGGGCAAGCCTTACGTCATTGGCACTTGGGTTACCATGGTGAGTGATTTATTGATATATATCAAGAATGAATAGATCAAAGGCAGCAAGATGACAGGTGATCAATCAAATGTCAAATCAAAGCTGGCAATCAACTGGAAAGCTGATTTTTCAGTGGGTGGGTCTGGCAGAAGAAAAATGAACTTCCATATTGCGCTTCCCAGAAACAAAACCCCACCACACTATTAAAAAAAAATAAAAAGCAATTAAGCAGCCTGAAAGAAAACTCTTTGAAAAGATTTACTATACAGGCCCACTCATCTGTTTCTTTTTCTCGGCCCCCGAAAGAAAAAGAACACCCTACAAATGACAGAACAAAACACTTCCAAAGTTGCAAACTATTTTCTTCTTAAAAAAAAAAATAATAATAATTGCAAAACCACTTGGCATGTGCAAATATATCAACTCGGAGAGCAAACAAAAGAAGAATTTGATTTGAAAATGCGGATTGTCTTCTAACAGTCAGAACGTTTCATTTTATTTCCTGTTGCAATTTTCACCACTGATGATCAAAGGCTGAACTTCCCCACCGGGTTCATCGGCAGAGACAGTCCCTGTACTATTTCAGGCAAACACAGCACACACACACACACACACACGCACA